TGACGTGCATTAATTCGTTGCTTTTAGACCAGAACGCGGCGCTGACGACACCATTGAACTTGTCGATAAAGAAACGGCGTATACGGAGCCCTGGCCCCTGCGGAAACGACAGTGGTACCGACGGCGGAAGGAAGAAAGAGACGGCTGTGGAGAAGTTGAAGAACGAGGCTTCGGTTGGACCATCGTATAACTCGGCCTTTCAGACAGTGTCCGCGTCATCGACATCGTCGTCGACGACGGCCGATGAATCCATCGTTAACCTGCTCTCTTCTCCGTCCCTGTTGTTCAACCCATTGTCGCCTCTTCCGCTCATGAGCGCCGTCGCTCAGCGGCAGCTGATGGCCACTCATGCGCTGACGTCCAGCTCTGAGCAGTTGTTCAGCAACCACAGATGGAACGTTTCGAAGCAACAGAGGCCGTTCAAGGCCTACAATCCGACATACCCTCTTTCGGCGCTACAGGTACTCGTCTGTTTCTGAGTTCGCCTTAAGAAATGCCGATTGATGTAAACAGCTTTTACCGTTCACGTGCTTCGGGTGAGTTTTTGAGTTTTCGTCCCTTAAATTGTTTACCGACCGAATTCTTGCCTGTCGGCCGGCCAGCCGGTAGGTTTTTGTCGCCGGCAACGGTTGGTGCATCTGACTGCATGGCAGTGAGGGATGCAGAGGTTGCGGGCGACGCATCGTGCGTCGGAAAGCGGTACAAGACGTGTCGTTTTCTCAGCAGCCTGAAACTGTGTCGTCCAGCATTCAGTTGCGCCGATTTCCTCCGTTTTGCTGCTGATTGCATGTACGACACCGAATCGTTTGTTTCCTACCTTTTTGTGGCAGTTTCGGCCATCATTCTGCTTCAGTGCTTCTTTTGCGCACTCGTGTCCATTACTTGCGCATTAGTCACGTCGTTTAAAGAACTATCGTCACCATCACTAGCTACTGCCTGTACCATAGACCTCTCTGTACATGGGCATTTGGAACTTCGCTTGTTCTTCACGGTTCTGTGCCTGAGGTTATGCACTAACCTATTCTAACCTATTTCGTCACTCAATACGACCGCCGGATACTCTGCGACCATTCCACCTGGATCGAACAGAGGCACACACTCGTTCCTCCTCACTCCCTTAAATGCCGTGTCACTTTTTCTGACATCTCGATCGAGGGAGGGGATGGTATACCTTGTGTTGAACAGTTAGCTATTACGGCGGGTGCATCACGGCGAATTACAGACGCACAAGGCGCTCGCATTCGGCAACATTACCTTACCTCTTGCCTGTTCTGGTGTGATCACATCACGACACTATGTGGTCCCTGTTTTTGCAAGCCAATAACTAATTGCCTCTTTTTCAGCTGCTTGCAACGGAGTGAGCGTGGAGTAAATTCCATGCTCAAGGTAATTAGCATTTAAGACAAAATTTTGTGATTTCTCGTCACTCGAACTCAGTTCCTCCTGAGTCAGAGCTGGATTCTTTATTGATGTACTCAGCTGATCGCAGCTTAATTGCCGTCGCTTCTAGTTTTCTTGTTGTCAGCGTTAGTAAATGCTGCAATCTTCGGGTCGTAAAGCGAGATGTTCAAAATGCAGGCCTGTGTTATATGCAGTTTTATGCCATGGACAACATCTTTTTTCCTTCATAAATAATTTACTTTGCCGTTGGCTGCTAATGCCAACGCACAGCATTATAACGACGTTTGTCGCTCATACGTCTGCGGCCAAAGTACTTCAACAGAATAGACATTTCGGTACTTTTTCCGCAACTCTGTTTGTGTCTAAGATCAAAGATTCTTCTATCGCTTTACCAACTTCAAATTTTCCGAAGAACCCAGATCAGAACATGACTTTTTCAGAGTTAGAAGCATTGATGCAAGAGAATCGAAGCTCTGTGCCAGCAAAACGATATCATCACTGTGTGACGTTTCCCGCTCTTGCCTCAGCCTTAGCCTCATTGTTGCCTATTGGTAACAGTACTCACTCAAGCGACAGCAAATGGCATAGGTTCCACTCTTTACCTTGACCCAAAACTTGTAGGGGAAAATTTGTTCAGTTCGTTCTACGCCTGAGAGAAGTCCGTACACCATTATGCGAATGATTATTAGTGATTTTTTGGGGACTCTGTATTGTTCACCAATATTCTACTAGAAATTTATCTGAATGAAGATATTTTTTGAAATCAACGAAAATACAAAGAATTTGGATTCTCGTTCTTTCTTTTTTCTTATAAACTATCTGTCAATAATGAATATTTAATTCTGATGTTCGAAACGAAACTGTTCATCACCTGCTGTTTAAAGCTCGCTATTCTGGAGTGGCTACGATGAATAACGGGTTTCCAGTTCCACCGGTAAATATCACATAAAAATTTTTAATATCGGATTTATACGTTCCGCCCCCCCCCCCGAAGAACAGTGAGGTTATATTCCATAGAACCACGAATAGTGGAGATTTTTGTTTTGCTCCAACACCACGTCGTTGTTCATCCAAACTGAGAAATGCAGTTGTGCATCAGTCGCGCATCGCCCGTGCACACAAACCATTCAATTATCCCCCTACCTGGTTAAAAGCAGGGGAGTGGTTGAATTTGTTTTGCGTAGATCCGATATTTGGAGATGAAATGCAACTTTACACCAAAGGCTGCTGTTCACTGTTTTTCATGTCTTCACTTCCATATGAGTTAAAATGTTCTGCCCTGAGGGATTCGAATATAAATTGAATATTGCATGGCTATTCATTAAGAAATAACTATTTGCAGGATTTTCCTTTCAACCACAGAAACAGTTAACTGATCTTTCTTCGTAGTTAGCGAGAATCACCACTGTCTGGTCTCGATGACCGTATGGCGCATATGCCGTATGATTCGTCGCCACAAACTTACATGTTTTTCTTCTTAGCTCATCGTCCCATCGGAGCAGAAGTCCTTTAATTGGGCGCTTGCAGCCTCTTGGTGCCAGTTCGTCACTGTCTAAGTTCATCGATCATCCACCATTACTGCGATGTGACCTGCCCGTTGCATCTGATACTACATCCTGCATTCCCGTCCGTTTTCTTATTTCGTCATTTCGCATTATCCCTGATGAAAATTCTAATCATCCTTCTTTCCATGGTGTGCTGCTGCACTCTAAGATGTCGGGTCCGGCAGGCATGTAGAACAGTTGGCAATACCATGCTTTCATACGGTGTGGCTCTAACGGCATTTGATAACTTTAGGTGGCGCTTTTGTATGTACTCCACGCAGTACAGCGCCTTCTAGCGAGCAATGGACCAAACGAGAGTTCTGAGTCGATTAGCGGCCCCAGGTTTCCCGTCTTTTATGGTTACTGTAGTTAGTTGGGTAAATTCGTTTCTCATCATTTGAGTTTTCACGCTGTTTGTTCGAAGTAGGCACTCTCGGAGAGGATTTCCGATCTCATGACGTTTCACCTTTTTCGAGATATCTGGTGAACAGCTACTGTTTAACGTTCGCCCCCCTTATTGGACAGTGTCAACTGAAAACTGACCTAAGTCCATAGCCTTTTCACAGTTCGTTTTCGTACAAATTTCACTTGGTACAGTTTCCGACAAGTCACGCATCTTTTTTTCTGTATGATCAACAACAGGGTCGATGTTTGCATTAATGGGATCGTTATGGAAAGGTTTACCAACATATTTCACTGCCTTGTGACCTGTTACTCTACCAAAAGTCATCTTTTACGCTTGTAACCGGTTCTTATAGAGGCAAGGTC